TGGCATTGATTTTCCTGAGATCCTACTGTGGACTAGAGTCAGGAAAGCCTTGGTCTGGTACTTGATTAAAGACAATACTGGAAGCAACTGCATGAACGCTACGGTTTTGCATATCCTGCCTCATATCATGTGCTTTTTCTTCCCAGTCGATATTGTCTAATACGTAGACAAACTTGTAACCAGATTTCACTAGCTCTGTGGCACGGTCAAGTAAATGTTTTCCAACATCGTCAAGGATCTTGTACTTTTTGGTGGGCTCAAGACATAGCCCATATTTATTCAATTTGGCAATACACTAAGTAACAGATGATCAAAAAACAAATGTTGAATTCTGGGGAGAAGGTACAAAAGAATCAGGAATCACATACAAGGCTACAAGATCAGTTGTGAATCATTCTTAAACAGGTAGAGCATTCAATAAGAATGCAAATTCAGAATTTTTGGTTCTAAATACACAAACAGAATTAAATGGTAATATTTAGTTAAGTCAGCTGTTAGTGTTACAGTACAATAAAGGACATGATGAGCTTGTGTGTAAAATAATCTCAGTATTACCTGACAACATATGCTCAAAACCCTTCATTTACTAAACATATCCTATGGCATATCCTATCAATGCATTGGTGATCTCGTTCATTTGGCCACACATGCACAAAATTGATTTAACTGCCTGGCAACTGCTTAAAGCTAGAAGCCTAAGTAATTTTATTTACAGCAGTTAAGCAGAATTCATTGTCTCATAGCAATTTTTCATGCTGTTGATATGGCTCCAATATGGATGGTTTTAATGAGAGGGCTTAATCAAGTATTTAGATTACTTCATATTTCATAACATATTTAACAACAAAAAAATTACTTGGACATGAAAATGACTTACATTAACAGATGCTTGACCTTGTACCAACAAAAACGAGTTTATCCTCTGAATTCTGCTCAATTCATGGCATCTTAAGAACATTATGATGCCATAAATTAAGCAGATGCCAGGATTCTTCTTCCCTGGATAGATGCTGCTTTCTATCAGAGATAGCAGTATTTTGTTCACAACTGGACATCTGGTTGCCATCTCTTGTAACACTTCCGACATCCAACCCTCATCTGACATACCATTATAGGATATTTGCCTGAGAACAGATGGTTCACTTTTTCTGGCAACCTCAATCAATTCTTGATTTGCCTTAGCCAAATCCAATAATTCACCTTCCTTTAAATGGGCAAATTAGAATATATTTTAAAAGATATCAATTTCGAAACATTTCACTATAAATTAAAATTACTATGAAGTATGAACCAAATATAGATCTTATTATTCATGACCATGATTAAATATTAATCATTTGTGAATATCACGCCTCATTAATACCGCTAAATATTCCACAAGAAAAATATCAAAATACTAGAACTAAACAGCATTACACGCAAAATAAAGAACACTTACTTGTGAAGGTAATGTTGTAGGACTTGCGCTTTCAGAGGTAGCGATGTCTAAATCAATACTGCGTTGACGCGTAATCCCAGTTGCTCGAACTTTGTATACTGGTTTATCGACCGACCGCGATATCTCAACACAACGTTTGGCACGGATTTCTTCTTGTAGTTGCTGCTGCGTTTCGTAAATTGTTTTCTTTAACAGTATAGCAGTTTTTAGTCTTCTCTCACATGGCCGACAGATCAAGTGTGGAAGGTTGCTACTTTGTGGCAACTTATCACCGAAAATAGTCTCAACGTCGAGAAAAATCGCAACGTTAGAGTCCCAAAACAAACCTTTACAGTGCCTCGGATCACCAACAGAATTATAGAGTCTGCAGTGCGAGATATTGACCGACGATTAGATGGATTCTTGTAGTACTTTTTTGTGTGCCTTTACTAGCCATTGGCGAAAACTAAATGAGTATTCTTTTGAAATTTGATCTAATTCCATGATTAACATGTAAATTAATATTCCATTCTCCTGACCATGGCAGTGTTATTGAATTGCAATAACACAAAATCGTGAAAAAAGCGTGAACTATGTATATTTTTTATTTTTGCGAAGGACAAAATACAATACTATGAGGAAAATTTTCCGATAACAAACGTACGCTCCTCTCCCACCCCTCCCACAGGAAAATTTCAATTTAGCACCCAGAATCTGGGTGCCACGTGACCAGCGGCAACCAGGGTCTTTTCTCCCCACGAGTAAAGACCCTGGGTACAGGGTTGATTAAAATACATGGAAACAAATAAAAATACATGAACGCAAATGATAAACAAACGCACAAATTGAGATACATGCACACAAAACGAAATACATGAACACAATTCAAATACATGAACGCAAATGGTAAACGCATGCACGAATAGAAAACACGTGCACTAATAAAAAACCCACGCAAATTCAATTCGCATATCACACACACAATTTGAAATACAACGCAACTAAATAATTTCAAAAATCTTTGTTTCCGAATATTTGAATTGTAATAATATATAGTTAGCAAGCTTTACGACAGAGTTAAGTATTCGAGAATGGAAGCGGCAATTTGATATTATTTTAAAAAACAGTACAAATAGCAAACTATATTAGATTGCTTGGAAAAGTCTCATGACATAAAGATATCCAAAAGGACCCTTCTCAATAAGCTTAAAGTGCTTATGAAACGAAATTTTCGACTTTGTAGTTTTTATTGCTTATAGTAGTCTTTGAGCGGCTGAACACGATGCGCTTATCTATTTTTACCTATGCTGAAGAGAAAATCCTTTTTTTCCCCCTCGAAAACTGTAATTCGGCACAAAAAGGCTTCCGAAGTCTTGCGCGGCCAGTGACGTCACTGGTTAGAGTCAGCTATTATAAAGATGGCATCTTCAACGAGTTCTCACGCGAGTTCCCAAAAAAAGCAAAAACAATTGGGCAAATATTGCGTTGCTGGCGGTCCTGGTAATGTGAGTTGTAAGAATAATTCACAAACTATTGGAATATCCATGCATTTGTTTCCGAAGTCGAACGAAAAATTGCGAAATGCCTGGATAAAGTTTGTGCAAAGACATCGATCTGGCTGGCAACCATCTCCATATTCTGCGCTTTGCTCAGCTCATTTTGAAGAGCGCTACTTCACACAGCGTCTCGACATCGGTTTAGAAATAGGAAAAGAAGCACAAACAAAGAGGTGGCTTGACAGAAACGTCGCGTATCCAACTGTAGATACTGCGATACCAGTCGTTTCAACTACACCCGAAATTTCTGGCCGTGAACGCAGAAAGGTAAAATTAATATATTCATAAATGTAACACATTTCAAATTGAATACCAACATGCACACTTATTCCACGGATGGGCCTATGATCGTGCCAATTGTAAGCGCAAATAATCATTCTGGTTTAAATACGTTGTTTATTCCAGATATTGAGAGATATCAAGAAACCCGACGTAAGGCACAAGTCGTCATCGACAGTACAAGCGTCCGTTCAAGAGCCAAATGACAATGTTGGCCAAGCGCTGTCGAACGTTCCGGACAATACTCCTTCCACGTCTAGAGTGTCAAAAGAGCTCGAGGAGTACAAAGAGCGTTTGCGCAAAAGTAAGGAACGAAATTCACAGCTGAGAAAGAAACTGTTTGCTGAGCGTGGTGATAAACGAGAGCTGCTCAAGGTGAGAATTATTTATATTATGACTATTTGTAGAGTTATACATGTCCAAAATACATGCATGCCTATTTCTGATTTTGAGCATTCAGGTTCTAGACACCTATGAAGTCAATACCAAATCCAAAAACAATGAGAGAACAAATGAGGGGCAGACCAAGACAGTAACGAGAAAGGAACTAGAGTATGATGAAGAAATTGACATGGAATCAGATGTGGAAAGTGATTATGGGGAACCCGACCCAGACTGGGATGTCCTGGAACAAGGTGCCGAGGACAGTGGAGATGATGCTGAACATCTGAATTCTCAGTCAAGAAATTTAATAAGGTTCTTGCATTGCAAACAATATTAATGGATTATGAAGTGAAGTACATGTTATGCAGGCCAATTGAAGCTTCAAAAAGCCATCAATCCCCTCCCTGTTCTTTTGTGCTGTAAGTCTAACACATTTTATTCATTTCTTGTATAGTTTGCCTTCAGATATAAAATGCCAGGATGAACCCAAGTTTATTGTGTTCCACAGCATGCTGCTATCTATATTTTCTTTGTTTTGTTTTACCTGCAAAAAAGAGAACCCTAAGGTGGGACATGTATAGAAATGGGACCATGGTAACTGTTGTGCAACATTGTGATTCTTTTGGTATGGAATCATTCAAATGGAGAAGTCAACCTTTTGTTTTTGGACGATACCCAGCTGGAAACCTTTTGCTCTCCTTTGGAATTCTAATGGCTGGTGCCTCTGTTGGCAAGATAATTCTAGTTTTCAAACACATGGCCTTGCTGTCTACACATCACGGACATTCTTCTACCATCAGAACATGTTTATCTTCCCTACCATCCTAACACACTGGAATCCTATCAAGCCAAATTGATCGATCACTTAGGAATGTCACAGATGCAGTTTGGTGTGGAGATGGTCGGTTTGACTCCATGGGACATTCTGCTAAGTTTGGAGCTTACACAATGTTTTGTGCAACAATTATGAAAATTGTACATTTTGATTTGTTGCAGGTAAGTATGAAACAATGTTGATTTGTAGAAACAAATTGCACAACTTTATCAAGTAGAGCTATAGCTATTTTTTAATTATAATATGTGTAGCTATCTATTTATTTATTTTTGGTCCTTTTTGGAACAGAGCTACAAAATATTAGATTGCTTAACATGAAGACTGCATTGTTTTTGTTGCAGGCAAACCAAACTGGAAGCAGTAATGCTATGGAGCTGGAAGGGGCAAAGGCATGCTTTGATTTCCTCCTTACTATTGCTGGATTAACAGTCCCAGTATTCATCTCAGATCGACACCGTGGGATTACCAAGTGGATCAGAGAATCCCATCCAACAATTCAGCATTTTTTGACCAATGGCACATTGCAAAAGGCATTGTTAAAAAAATGCTGGCTGCAAGCAAGGAAAAAGGATGCGAGCGAATTGGAGAGTGGACAAAAGCTGCCAGAAACCACATTTACTGGTGCTCAACCTCTACTGTAAAAGGCTTTGGAAGTATGATCCAGGCAAAGTGGAAGTCCTTTATGCGGCATGTGGCCAACAAACATGATGACCATCCTGATCAGCTATTTCCCAAGTGTGCGCATGAAGAGCTTGAAGATGAAAGGAAATGGATTAAAATTGGTAAGAGAGTCAAGTAGCACACCAATTTGATATACACCAATTTGCTTTTTTTCATGCAAGGAATGTAGTTGATCTATGTGGTAGTTATGCCTATTTATGGCTTTGAGAAAAGAAAAATTCAACCCCAAATAATTAGTCACTTAGATACAAGCTAGTGTAATGAATAGTAATGATATTTCCTAAATGATTATTGTAGGAACTAGAGCTCATGACAAACTACAAGCCATTATCATGAAGAAAACAATCCTAAAAGATGTGAAGAAGCTTTCGCCTGATGCCCAAACAAGTTCATTGGAGGGTTTCCACTCTACTCTCAACCAATGGCACCCTAAAATGATTTGTTTTTCATGGCTTGGGACATATTGCAGGTAATATGATTGTTTCACCATAAATATGAATTAGGGTGATAACAAATGTAAGATATGTTTAGCAAATCAGATATAATAAATAATATATTATATAATCAGTTATCTCCAACAAGAAAAGGAATATTGCTGAATACAAGATGTTAGCATGTGGGAATTTTCTTTGTTTTAGACATATTCTTGCTATCCTCCATTTCAATGAAAATATAAAACGAAAACAAAAAACAACAAAAGATGGCAAGAACTATGTCAGTGTGACATATCCAAAATTTAAATTTGGAGATGAAGTTGTACGAAATATTCCAGTACCACCAACTTACAGTAAGTGGATTGTTGTTGATTGATATTTTGGCTTAGATTAATCATCAAGTATATGTTTTTTAATAGATTATGTAGAAGACATGAAACATTTACTATTTGCAACATCTGAAGAAGACCTAGACAAGATGATAGAGAAATATGAAGAACGGGTACCAAAACCATTGAATAGTCAGTTTCTATGCAAAGTGCCTCGGGATGAAGCCATAACTAAGAATGCTGCTCGAAAACGAAAGATAGCTGAACTTTATCCATCAGGTATATATATTTTTAAAGTCTTTGCAGGCATTCTAAAAAATTGTTATTATTCTATTGGTTTGCAATGTGCAAGGCTTTTACCTCTGTCTAAGGCCTGACAATTGTACTCTAAATATTTTTAAAAACTTTTAAGGTGAATTACAAAATCAAGAAATGGTAAAGGAAAAAAGAAGTAGACAGCAATTGCAACAAAGAAGACCAAGATGCTGCAAAAAATGCAAACTGCCAATGAAAGGTCATCCCCGTTCTCACTGCCCAACACAGCAAGTAGCACCACAGTAGTGTATTGTGGAAGTGTAAATAATTTATATGAGGTCAACAAAGTTTGCAAAATATATTTAATAGCATCTAATCTTGTATACAATTTAAAATAAACAACCCATAAAGCTTTAGAAAAGGCATAGCCATGCATATTCAAATTATGTAAACAAAGTTTACTCATCAATGTCCTGTTCTGTGGCTCTTTCTTTACCAGACGAATACCCGACAGAGCTGCTTGTTGGGAATGTCTTCCTTATGTTGTGATATATGCAGGCAGAAAGAGGTCTAGTGTTTTCCCATCCCATTTCACCAAACAACCATCTGGCTAGCCATCTGTAGGCAACAGCTCGCAGAAATCTACCACAAAAATATTGTAAAACATGAGATCAATACTTCAACTTTATCTGATATTAATAAACAATTTATTAGGACCTTACTCATTTTCTGTATGACCATATTTCGTGTAGCGTTTCCCACTTTTGTCTCTCAGTAAAGGTCCAACTTGCAGCAAAACTGTCTTATTAGTCAGTGGACCAAAGTCATGGTGGCTCAAAATACATGCAGCATTCATTCCCTCGAAAGTAAATTTTCCTGTAGCTTCAAGTATTTCCTTGCAACAACGAAATTCTCTCGAACCAACAAGAAGGGAGTCCTCACAACCACCACAGGTACACCTAGGATTTTAGAGGCAGAGAATATTATTTTTATATCTAACGAACTCTATTTGCAAGGAAAATAGATAGTTCTTACCACTGTTCTATTGGAATTTGTCTTTCGTAGCGTTGCTCCAAAACATCCCGTGAAATTCCATCCTCGTCGTGGTGTTCTTCGTCGCTGCCTTCATCCTCAGTGCTAGCCAATGGCTCGTCTTGGTAGGGCAAAAAATTACCCTCAAAAGCGTATTCCTCACAGTCACTTACGCTGTTTGCTTCACTATTATCACCATGAAAAGATCCATCATATGAATAATTCAATTCTGAGTCCTCATCAGACATATTTTCGAAATAAAAACAGTGTATTTTTGTTCTCTTGAATATACACAAATCGTGTTACAAAGTATGGGACTCTAACCAGTGACGTCACAACTCGAACCCAGGTTTCGGCTGACTTTTCTACCAAAGTGCTAACATTCAAACGCAAAATTATGGTATTACAATTCATTAATTTGAAAAACTAACCAGCGCATCGTATTCAGCCGCTCAAAAAGTACTTGAAGCCATAAAAAGAAAAAAGTCGAAAATTTCGTTTCACAAGCACTTTAAAGAATATGGGTTAGGCCGAAGGAGGTATAACGCGAATGATGACCAGGTAAGGGAATGTATTCAACAAGAGCTCAATGGCAACGGGAGGCTACTAGGATACCGAGCAATGTGGAGGAAACTTTAGTCTCATCATGGAATATATGTACGTCACTTAACAGTCCAAACTATTCTTTCTGAGCTTGATCCTGAAGGTTCAAGACTAAGAAAAGCCCATCGACTACAGCGTAGGGAATACCTAAATCCAGGGCCGAACTACAGCTGGCATGCTGACGGGTATGATAAACTAAAGCAATTCGGTTTTCCCATACACGGTTGTATAGACGGTTGTATAGACGGTTTTAGTAGAAGAATCATGTGGCTTGAGATTGTTAGAACAAAGAATAACCCACACATTGTAGGAAAGCTGTTCCTTGATTGTATAAAAGAGCAACGAAGTTGTCCAACAGTTTTGAAAACAGATAAAGGGACAGAAAACGGCATAATGGCTACGGCCCAATGTTTCTTGCGTCGTAATCACGTGGATGGCCAGCGAGGTACAAATGCTCATCGTTATGGGTCATCTCATACTAATCAACGGATAGAAGCATGGTGGGCCATGTTGCGCCGTTCATGGTCGTCTTGGTGGATTAACTTTTTCAAAGATCTGGCAGCCACAGATGTTCTGGATACAAGTAACAAACTACATCTCGAGTGCCTCTGGTTTTGTTTCGTAAAAGTTATGAAGAAGGACCTGAAAGGAATAAAAGAATCATGGAATACCCATTACATAAGAAAATCGTGATACTATACCGCACATGGAATCCCTGATCAACTTTTCTTTCTACCTGAGTATGTTGGTGCCGAAAATTATCAGAAAGAATATTTACAACCTGATATGGATGAAGTTGAACGTTATATCGACACAGCAACCGAAGACGAATCCCATCAAATCTACCAAGAGTATTTTGAATACAGCTCTGCCATGTTAGGATTTCAGGAGCCAAACACTTGGAGAGAATCCCTGGCAATGTTTCAACGCTTGATTGGGGTTGCCGAGTAACAGAATAAAACAAACGTTTAAAAAACTTTGAAACAGTTGTGTTAAATCTATTTGAAGCGTGGTAGTATAATATACAGTGGCTTGAATATTAATTGTTATCGTAGGGTTAAGTTGTCATCATGTCGAGGAAAAAGCCAGCGGGATAAACCCATGCCAGAAAATATACGACGTAGTCTGTTGTAACACTCAGAAATTGCAACTTTTAATCAATTTTAAGATTAGAAAATGTGCAATGTAACAAAAACTAAATTAACATAATTATAACTCATTAGAGAATTTCATGTCACCTCAATACCTCGTAATGACAAAAGTTGGCGAATTGTTTTTTTTAGAAAAATAAAAAAATGCTCTCACTCAGCACCAGCTACGGTGGTCCTTTCTGAACTTCCCTCGCCTAATGTTAACTATCATTCTTCTGTATCATTTACATTAAATAGTATTAGATACTTCATATTAGAGTTGGTGGCATCCCCCAATTCTAACACGTCACGGCCCAGAACATTTAATATTAACCAACACAAAAATGTTTTCGTTATCACTAACATAAATATAACTGTTCAACTGAAACGAGAAAAAAGTTTTGACACTATTTTCTCTATCTGATTACTATTTAACTAATCAATAATATCTTGTTTGTTAACTCAATAATTATAATATAACCAGTGGCGTAACGGACGTAAGGTAGGGTTAGGATAAGAACTAAGGGCCCCCGACCGTTGGGGGCCTCAGAGGGCCCCCATTGACTGCCGTCTATCGCCACGATTCTTAAAGAAAAACGGCGTGTCAGTGTATCGCATAAAAAAGTCAGGTTAAGGTGGCTCGATACAATTTTTTAGAAATTTTTAGATGCACATTTTAAACAGGGATATTAAGCACCTAAATATTTCACTATGAGGCTAAAAGTTAATATACTTTGCGGGAAACATATCTAGAGCGGAAATATTCTCAAAACTTTTGCCTGGCACCTGTTACCATGGCAACAGAGACGTTTCAAAATGGCTGCCAAACAGGGTTTAATCGTGTTTATATCACAAACGAGTTCTGTGACCCCAATTTTTTTTGCATTAAACGTTTTACACCATAAATGCTTTATCTATAAAAAAGTTTTTAAAAAATTCTAACATGGGGAATTCTTTCTTATTAACAAAAACGTTATTTTTGCTTATTAAAATTTCCCCATGTTAGAATTTTTTAAATCGTAAACCGTAAACGTTTAATGCAAAAAAAAATTGGGAGTCACAGAACTCGTTTGTGATATAAACACGATAAAACCTTGTGTGGCGGCCATTTTTAAACGTCTCTGTTTCCATGGTAATGAGTGCCCGGCAAAGGTTCCAAGAATATTTCCGCTCTATATATGTTTCCTCCAAAGTATATTAAATTTTAGCTTTATAGTGAAATATTTAGGTGCTTAATACCCCTGTTTAAAATGAGCCTAAAAAAATTTGAGAAACTGTATCGAGCCACCTTAAAAACAAATTGTTATGCCAAAGACAGGCCGAGGGTATGTATGAGGTTGATTGCAAAGGAAAATGCAGCATTAATGATGGTAGATTAAGTTATAGAGTATCCATCGACCATGGCTGACTTTTCTATTCTATTATCCATGTCCTATTACTTCTGTAGCGTAGATTACATATTATAACATTTGCATAATATGGTGAATTATGTGACATAGCAGATGACGTAATTCTAGCAGCGCTAGAACGCAGCTACAAGGAGCTATATATAAGCTCAAGTAAAAGTGATGCAGCGCTGAAACCGCGCTTGAACAGTGCTAACACAGCGCTAACTTGGTCTTGCAGATTGCCTTCTATGGTAATCATGGAACTCCAGTTATCTGGTTATAGCGGATTGTATTACCATAGTTTGCGTGCCAAATACGTCATAATTAACTTATGCAAGCACTATATAAACGCTTGCACACATATATAAAATATATAGAAGATAGAAATATAGAAGATAGAAATATAGAGGATTGTAAATAGAAGACAAGAAATATATATTCCAAAGCTTTACTGGTGTTGGACTGATTTCTATCACGACGATGGTGCCGAAGCCTGAAATACTCAGTTGAAGTTTGGATTGAGTTAAGCTTATTGCTAACGGTCCCTGGGACACAGATGACACACCCAGTTCTACGGCCCAACGTTACACTTCTATAACTAATGAAGTAATACACTAATGTAAATTTACAAGCTTCAGCTCTCAAATTATCAAGTGAAAACATGACAAACGGCTAGGGCCCCCACACCAAATATACTAAGGCCCCATCTTTATCCGTTACGCTACTGAATATAACGAAAAACTCGTTGCAAATCGAATATACTTGTTGCACAAATATTGAATATCTTTCCTAAGTGGCTATTGCTTTTCCCTTTCAGTTAAACCATGTTTTACCATGTTTACAGTAAGACTGTTAAACTTTTTTACCACATGACACATGCAAAGCAGGTCATTAACGTATAACATATCAAATTATTAGATAAAGTATTTAAGCTATGCCCATTTCAATGTCAACGTTAGAGCTAATACTACACCATTATTCCCTAAAATCACAAAAATCATCATATGTTGCCAGTAACTCTATGACAGAGCCACATGTATGAAAGAATGGTCTCCGACCTTTTCTAGCAAGCGTAGTGAAAGTAATTTTGATTGCCTCACACAAAATAACGTCAGAGCCAGTAGAAATTTTTCAAAAATTTTGCAAGAGCATTTTCATCTAAACCTTTGATCCACCGCTTAAGATGGCTAATTGACTCCCTTTCTGCAGAAGTTTGAGGATCTGCTTTAATAATCTTACAAACCTTTGCTGCGGTAGGATAGAGTGACTGATATATTTCAAAGAGGGCATCTCTTGTCGTAATGAAGGATTTCAAGGGATATAATACGTCCATCCAACAATCGCACACATACCTAGGTTTTTGCACAAGCTCCTTATGAGCAATTTCTATAACCACCTCCCTAAAATTTGCAGCAGTTACAAGTTTTTTGCATTCAAATGCCGACAGTAAATCGACCACTTCCTCATGATCAGTACTAAGAGAGTTAGAAAGAACTCTTTCTATAAGATGCGCTTCGGTTTTCGAAAGGTACTTCATAAAGGAATCTAAGTACATATGTTCAGTGACAGTGTCTTCACCAAAGAGGCAAGAGCACAAAAAGACTTTTGAAATCTTTATGGGGAAATATCGTTCTTGCATGTAACCTTTTAAAAGAATTCTGGCAATTGCCTGCCACTTCTCCCGGGATACATCATGGCGTATACTGGGAACTCTCTCATCTTCACCTAGCATATAACTATTATACACGTCATTCTAAAAGAGTGAGAATGCATCCCTCCCAACGCCCTCACCTTTTTCTTCCACACCTCTGGGATCTAGCATTTTTACATAAACAATCTTATGCAATAAGGTATCATTCACAAAATGGTTTAGTAAGTCACACTTTGAATTAGACCTATGAATAACTAATATCTCACTCTCCATTGGCTTTGCTAATTCGTCCGCAAAACAGTCAATGCTACTGCCAATATCTTCAAAGTTTTGATCTAAAATGTCATAAAATACATGGATTACATTATTATTTCTTTACTAGGCACAGAACAACGCAATATGTTATAAAAGCGTTAAATTTTCTACCTCCAAAAATTCCTGTAGGAAGAGAATCAGCCAAAACTTGCGTTGTTTCA